GGAACGATGCAAACAGTGTGGACTATGTCAGATGTCACCGCTTGATGCAACGACTGCGGGAGATGTAAAATGCGTGCCTGAATCGCAGGGCAGAGGGAATACTATAATATGCTTCCAAAACCAAAAGAGCAGCTTTCAAGTATCAAGCGTCTTCGACCCACGGCCTCAACACCCTACTCCTCCCATCTTGTCCCGTGATCAAGGGACATTCTGCGGAGGCCGACCTCATCGGACATCTCCAGACCCCATGCAACAGAAGTCAGACAATTCCGCCTACTGCCTCCGCAAACGCCCCATCTTCACTTTTGCATCAAGCCCCACGACGCCCATAACGGCGACCATCCCCATCGGTGCGCAAGCTCCCGGTATCCAGCCGATACCGCCCACAACCACCTTGGTCATCTCTGCCATAAAACACGCTCCGATGGAGACGACAACTATCAACACTTTCAACCTCACCACCGGTAGCAACCCAAAAGACATAATGCCTTCTGCCTCTGGTACCCACGCCCCTCTAGGAGTCATGTGGTCACGGCGCTCGAGTGCCGGAACGTGAGCATATTCAACCTCCAGGATACCGAAGCACAGGCGCCCACAAACTCCACCGTTCCCCAATCAACTGACCAGGCTGATACCGACTGACTCTCACGCCTACGTCACCTTAGCGCGCAGACGTGCGCGGGCCTAAAGCCGGCCCCCGCGTCAAGAGCTCTGACAGCCACAATGTTTCAGTACAGAATGCACAACTCCTACTGGTTTCTTTCCCGTTCTCCTCTGAGGCGGGGCTGGGTCGTGATTATTGTGGCGTTCTGAGTACACTCTCACGGCTTAGATACCACACACACCCGATGTCCTCCCACCTGTCACCACCATGATCCCTCTACTGGCATTGCGGAATCGAGCCAAACTTGCCCCCATTGAGATCTGCCATCCAAATCACGCATTGGCCCGGTCAGTGACTTGCGAATCCATTGCACTGGGACCGGCAAACCGACATTTCAGCCGTCGTTTCCGACGATGTCCGCCGTGTGCTCCACGGCAGGATAAAGCAGGCACGGTGACTTTCGCGTGACTTAGTTTATAATAAATGTAGGCTTATGCTCCACTTATCGCACTCTCCTCCTCTACCACCTGGGCCCGGTGTCAAGAGAGAGTCAAGAAGACCGGAGGTGGGGAGGGCGCAGGTGGATGGCACGGTCTAGCCCGCACCTTCGCACTCCGCTTTTCACCCCTGATCAACAAGACAAATGACCGGGATTCTAACCAACAACAGAAGGGGCTGGCGCGGGTGGGGCCGCACTTAGGTGTGCCGCCACCCACGGCTCGGATCTCAGGGAGCGGAAGTACCATGAAGGTCACATTAAGGGGCCATTACAGTCTGGCTACCAGACCACCAGCCGGCCGTTCCACACAAACACACAACGCTGGGCCGACTGCGATGTCCAAGTTATTCCGTCAGTTGGTAACCTTCCAAGCCGCAGCTTTTAGCGCGCCGTGATAGCCTCGAGTGCGTCAAATTGTTTATAGTGAGAAAAATACGTTGGGCCGTCGAACTGACTCTACCTTCCCATTCCTAGGCCCCAAGCACCGTCCGAGCCGGTCAGTACCCAGGTGCGGGGAATGGGTGCGGTGGCTGAAATATCCAGTGACATTGTCTGCGCTCGCTACACGCATGGCCTGGCCCCCCAAACACAAGCATCAGGATAAAACACCACGAGGATTGAGCGGCGTACATCTCACATGCGTAAGAGTGAGGTAGGTCACGTTAAGAAGGAGCCGCTTCAGCCTGGCTCTCAGCCCACCAGTCCGCCACTGCACACATACATGCACGTAACTGGGCAGACTGCGTGGACTGAGCTGGACGTTAGTCAGCAGCCTTCCAAGCCACCGTGCTTGACGCACCGTGAGAGTCTCCGACTCAAATCACACATGTAGCAAAGAAGCAGCATGGGAACGAAGCCGAGACGCACACTACCCAGTTGCGTGGGAGGTGGCGGTTGGATACTTATGTGATGCAGGTGGGGAAAGATGTGATGGTATGGTGTAGCCGGCGGTTGTCCACGGTAGGTTTTCGTGAACGCGCATGCGGCCTAATAGGCCCATGCGGCAGATGGATGTGAGGGTGCAGTGGGGGCAGCTAAGGTGGATGCGGTTGTGTATTTTGGTGCTCCAGGCACTGGTCCGCCAGCCTCTGCGCCATGGATTCGCAAGTAAGCGACTAGGCCGATGCGTGAAGTGAATGTATGGGGACATTGGAGACGGGAGAAGTCGGTGGTGTCAGTGTCGGTTTCATTGATGATAGCGATGGGCGCTCTGGGCAGCGGGATGTTGATAGAGCTAGGTATGATGGGTGTGCAAGTCGTGCCCGGTGTGTCGATACTGCAGTGAATTCCGCTGTCGTGGACACGCATTTGACCGAATAGGCCCATGCGGCGAGTGAATGTTTGCGGACAGTGGAAGCAGATGCAGCGACTGTGGTTTGGTGCTCCAGGCACTCGTTCGCAAATCTCTGTGCAATTAATTCGCAAGTGACCGACCCAAGCTGATGTGTAAGGTGAATGCGTGATCGCAATGAGGACAGGTTGGGACAGAGTCCACATCGATGGAGATGGGTGTGCCGATGGTGACGGTAGAAGGTGATGGAACCTCAGACGTCGTCCCACCAGTGGAGAGAAAGTGTGATGGCGGTGGTGCGAGGGTGGTGGAGCTGGTCTCTGTGGTCGACGCAGGAGTTGGGGCGGGGCTGATGATGTCCGTGATTGATGGCACCGGGGCAGCGACAGTGTGATCGTCGGTGAGTAAGGTGGTTGCCGTCGGGAAGTTTACGGCATGGGTGAGAATAGAAGGTAGAGTTGACGCTGCCGGGGCTGCTGATGTATTGCGTCCGAAGGTGTCCTACGAGACTAATTCTAGCGCGGAATGTGCGTCGCTAGTGCGGGCATGTTGGAGGCGACTGACTATTGGCATTGAGAAATCGAGGCACTTGCGAGAGTCCTTTTGGCTTCAGCGGCGGAAATCCGATTTGCTTAATAAAAGTCTGTGCTGGTCTTCAATTCTCTTTGGTATACTGATCTGTCCTGGGCGAGGTCCTCCCCGGTCCCCGGGTTGCTATACAGTCATTTCAGGGAGTCCTCGTAGCGTCGTTTTTGTCTTCCTGGTCTAAAAGCACCCCTAACTGCATCACTATAGAATATTTGTGTAAGTGAACGTATATATTTTATCCTCACCAGACGGCCGCCCTAACGTAGTTACAGTTGCCTCAACATGGCATGAATGCTGAGAATTCCGGTATGCTTTTGGAGTTCCGTGTCGGCGATCCGGTCTTGCCATCTCAGCTTTAGTATTATGCGAAGGTAGCTGAAATCGAAGTGGTTGAACTTCCTAACATG